CAGCTAGCTTAAATACCAAGTAAGTAGAGGCCAAGTATGGGCTGGAGAGAGTATGGGATCCTAGGGGCAACAGACATAGATAATAAGGTCATAAACTCTTGGATACTTTTTCTTTATGGAACCCAAGAGGTGAATACCAAAAAGATTAATGAGAGTCCTGGGAAAATAACCCTCATGGTGAAGACCTGATGAAGGGGAATTCAACTACTATAGAAGGGGCATTCAACCTTGACTGTTTCCTCTAGGGAATAAAAGAATTAATCTGCAGGGACTGGAGCAACAAACACTTTTACCCATGGGGTACTAGCAAAGGCCACTATTTGGAAGTGACTATGTTTTGGGCAGAGAACTACATCTGGGAGTGGAGCATGAGAACTAAGAAGGCCAAACATGCCAGATCCAGAAACACAATGTTAGCTTAGGATAGGCTTTATCAGAAAAAACAGGGAATATTCCTGCCACTCAAACTCTTGATAACAATTAACAGTGGAATACTACCAGAGACAAACCCTCTCTTAGTCACTGTGCAAAATGAAGACCTATAAGAGATTGAGAAAAACCTTCCAGCAAACCAGTCCCCATTCTAAAAATAAGGTAATGTTGGAAGAATTTGAAGCCTGTGGTGCACTGAGTAACCACAGAAATAACAAACTTCAAACAACGTCCGAGCTCATACAGTATTAACTCAAACTTTCACATTAAAGGTCCAGCAGAAGACAAGGTATACCCATTTTCGGGCACAAAAGCTTTTATTATAATCTCCACCTGTCCTACACAAGATATCCAGCCTTCAACAAAAATTTACAAAGCACAGGAAAAGGTGGTGGTGGGGGAGCTAACAAAGTAATCAAGAGAACCAGCCTCAGATATAACAAAGATGCTGAAGTTAACTGACAGGTACTTTAAAATAACTGATTAATATAGGAACCCTGGTGTTACAGTGGTAAAAGCACTCAAGTGCTCACTGAAAGGTCAGCAGTTCGAATCCATCAGCTGCTCTACAGGAAAAAGATGTGGCAGTCTGCTTCTGTAAAGGAAACCCTCTTGGGGCAGTTCTACTGTGTCCTACATGGTTGCTATGAGTCATAACTAACTTGATGTCAATGGATTTGGTTTTTCGTATGATTAATATGCTATTATGGATTAAATGTTTTACTCTCAAAATATGTGTTGTAAATCCTAACTTCTATGCCAAGGAGGGGTCGCTATGAGTCGGTTGGACTTGATGGCACATAACAACAACAACAACAACAACAACATGCCTATGTTTATGTTCTCATTTGGAAATGAGTTTTCTTTGTTATGTTAATAAGACAGGATTAGTATAGCACGTGTCTTAAATTAATCTCTTTTAAGATATAAAAGATATTAAACAAACAAGTGAAAAAAGCTGAGATGGAGGAAGAGGGATGCCAAGTTACACAAAGACTGCTCAGGAACAGAAGTTAAAAGAGACAAGGACTTTCCTACCGACTGAAAGAGAAAGAAAGCTTTTCCCTAGAGCCAGCACCATGAGTTTGGACTTCCAGCCACCTAAACTGTGAGAAAATAAATTTCTATTTGTTATAGACACCTATATGTGGTACTTCTGTTATAGCAGTACTAGATAAATAAGACATATGCTAAAGTCTAAGACAAAAGTGAAAAACATGCAAGATCAGACAGCTAGTATTAGCAGAAAAAGGAAAACTAAAAGACAAATGCTAGAAGTGAAAAACACAATAAACAATAGATGTGAAAAATGGGCTCATCATACGACTTGACATAGCTGTGGCAAGAATCAGTGAACTTAAAAGAGATGTCAACAGAAATTACCCAAACTAAAAACACAAAGGAAAATTAATAGGAATGAAAAAAAAAAAAAAAACCCAGAACATTCACAAATTGTGGGACAAAATCAAACTAATCTGCATGTCATTGGAATCCCAGAAGGAGAAGAAAGTATGAGAGCAAAAGCAATACTTGAAGAAATAATTCCTCAAATTTTCCAGAATTAAAGAAAGACACAAACCCACACATCCAAGAAGGTCAGAGAAAAAAATAAAACAAAAACACACAGCAGGCATATCATACTCAAACTGCTAAAAGCAGAAGACAGAAAATACCTTAAAGGCATAGAAAAAAAGACACATTATAGATGCAGACCAAAAACAAACAAACATAACAACCAAACTCACTGCTGACTCTATGCAGAGGAACAGAAATAAGAATTACAAGAGACATAAGGCTTGCATGATTTTTGACAAGTCAATACTGGAGCGATTTAGCATGGAAAGAAAAAAACTGTCAACCTAGCATTCAGTTTCCAACAAAAAATCTGTATTTTTAAAACTGGAGAATTACCTGAGACAAAAAAAAAAAAAAAAAAAGAAAATTCACTGCCAGCAGACCAGCACTACAAGAAATGTTAAAGGAAGTTCTTCAAGCAGAACAAATATGACACCAGACAGAAATATAGATCTACATATAGAAAAAAAAAAAAAAGAGTGATGAAATAGGGTAACTAAAGGGAAAATAAAATTCTTATTTTCGTAACAAAAAAAATTTTACAAGGTGTAAATATATAAGTCTATCATGAAAATAAAATGGAATCATAATAAATACCCAATAAACCCAAAAGAAGGTTAAAAAAATAAGAAAGAAAAAAAAATAGATGGAATAAATAGAAAAGAGCTAGTAAAGTGGGAGTTACTAGTTCAAACAGAATCACAAAACACAAACTAAACATAGCTGAAAGAGATGGTAAGAATGAATTTTTAAAATAGCTTTACTGTGATGTATTTTACATATAGAATTCATCCACTTAAAGTATATAGTTCAGTGGTTTTTAACATATTCAGAGTTGTACAACCATCTTACATATTGGATTTTTAAAAATCCCCATATTTTTTAGATGACTAATATACCACCACTATTACATCACACCGCCTTACTCTATTCCTCTTCTATCAAAATCAACCCAAATTACACTCCTTAGTCAGGCACAGTAACAAGTACAAATTTCTTAGGAAGCCTTTTCTTAAACCACCATGTTGAAATTAATTTTTTCCTCCAAGATCTTTTCCATAGAAATTTCTATCTAACTCTCTACTCTAAATTGTATTAAATATAGTTTGTGCATGCCTGATTTCTTAAGCATAAGTCCTTCGACGACTGGTACAGTGCTTTGTATTTCACACGTTCTCAATCTTTGTTTTTTGAATTTGATTCACTCAAATTCACTTGTTCCATCCACTCTGAAAGAGATCTTGAACACTGGCTTAAAAGCTATGTTTGCATCTTTAAAATACAGAAATAAAATCTGATTATAAGAAATTATATTCAAGTTATCATGTTTAAGTTGGGAAGATCATTTTATGATACATGAGTTAACTATGCCCCCTACTGACTGAATAAATATTTTGAAAACCAAATAACTTTCAGAAAATATGGACTATGATCCACACAAATGTCCCACATAAAACCAAATATGATTGTAAATGCAAAGATGTTTCACAAAAAGACTCTTCCAGATCTTAAGTAAATACTTAAAATAGGATTTATTAGAGAAAGAAGAGACTTGAAAACAAAGTGCAATTTTGGAATTGAATACTCAGGGTCATTAGAACTTCAGGAAGATCACTCCCATTTTATTTCATATGAGTAGTTTTCAACTGGGGGCAATTTTTTCCCCCAAGCAACATATAGCAACATCTGGAAATATTTTTGGTCATTAATACTGGAGAAACAGGGTGTGGCCGGAGGCAAGAGATACTACTAATCATCCTACAGTGTGCTGAACAAATACATCGAAGTATATCTAGTCATCAGAGTTGAGCAGTGGTCGCCAAGGGCTGGAGGAAGGGGAAAGAGGAGAATCTTTGTTTAGCTGGCACTGAGTTTCTGTTTGTGAGGTGGAAACTATGGCAGTGGGTGTTGGTGATGGTTGCACAACTGATGTAACTAAATTCACTGTATTGTACAAGTGAAAAACTTGAATTGGCAAATACTGTGTTACCTGTATTTTTACAAAAATAAAAAAATTAATGAATTATCCAGCCCAAAAGTTAATAGAGCTGAGAATGAAAAATACTCCTCTACAAGAATATTCCCTTACTGTGCAACAAGGCAACCCTATGCATTTGCATTTTATCTAATATAGTCAGATAATAGTTTGCTGTTGTTGAGAATATACACAGCAAAACATATACCAATTCACAATGTACAATTTAGCAACATTGATTATATTCTTTGAGTTGTACAACCACACTCGTCTTTTCTGAGCTGTTCCTTACTCATTAACATAAAGTCACTACCTCCTAAAGTTCCTATCTAATCTTTCAAATTGCTGTTGTCAATATGATCCCACATAGACAATTCATAAAAGAGCATAATAGTTTAAAAAGGCTGACCTTTTTTTTACTAGTTAAGCTAAACTATTGTTCAGTTTCAAGATGATTTCAGGGGATATTATCGCAGGGCAACAGTTTCAGGGGTTCATCTACCCTCCATGTCTCCAGAAAGTCTAGAGCCAAAATATTTTGAAATTTTGTTCTGAATATTTCCCCTTTTGATCAGGATCCTTCTATGGAATCTTTGATCAAAATGTTAGGTAATGGTAGCAAGGTACCATCCAGTTACCATCTCCTGGCAAAGGAGGCAGTTGCTCATGCAGGCAATTAGCCACACATTCCATATCTTCCTCTTATTCCTGACTCTCCTTTTTCCTCTGCTGCTCTAGATGACCAATTGTTGTGCCTTGGATGGCTTTTCAGACCCCAGGCACTACACAAGCTAGTAGGTAGAACAGAAGCACTAAACACATTATTAGGGCAATTAACTGGGATGTCCTGTGAAATCATGACCCTAAACCTCCAAACCAAGCAACCAAATCCCATGAGGTCTCTGGTTGTACACATAAGCAGTTTCAGCAGGTACTCACTTTTTACTGTTTGTTGTTGTTGCATATTGTTATACACTTTTTAATGCATACTTCTAAGCCAAAGGCTTTCCCATCATACCTGTGTTTCCATTTCCATCATCCTTTGTTTTATTTCTCTTATTTCTGCCTGTGTTTCAGCTTCTCTAAGTCGAATGGTCATCAGTTCATCTTGTAACTCATTCATAGCATTTTTCTTAGGTGGGTCTTTCCACCTCCCAGTAGTACGAGCTAAGTGGCGCTAAAACAAAAAATTACAATGCAACAAATATTCACAACATCAGAATAACAGTTAACTTTACTGAGCATTTACTCTGGGCCCTGCACTATAGTAAACACTTCACAAGCGTTATTTTATTTAATCTCCAGAAAATCTTATGAGCACTACTACTTCATTTTATAGGTAAGAAAACAGAGACACTGTGATTAGGTAACTTCAAGAAGGTCACATAGCCAGTGAGTGCCAGACACAGTTCAATGTTCTCTAATACAAGAAGTGGATTAATTTTTGTAAAGAATACAATTTTCACCCTAATTTTTAATGAGATTTTTCATATTATCTTTAATGAAATCCCAAGAAAAGGATTAGAATTGGAGCTATTTATTAATTAAGTAAGAAATATTTTAGAGCGCTGTAGTGCCTAAGGCATTTGACTGCTAACCAGAAGGCTGGTGGTTCAAACTCACCAGCCCCTCCTCAGAAGGATGACTGGGCAAGCTACTTCTGTAGAGATACAACCTTGGAAAGCCAAGGAGGGGTTGCTATGAGTCAGAATCAACTCGATGTCAGTGAGTTTTTTTTTTATTATCACAGAAGTTAAAGAAGTGTTTTTCAAATATCTGTGATGATGACAGACTGTCATTTTGTTTGCTTTTTAATTTCTGATTTATTGCAGTCTAATGTTTAACAATAGCAACAACAAAAAAAAGCCATGGTATCTCAAAGACTAATTTCAGTCTTTGCTAGATGCCTCCAAAATTTCAAATCAATATTACAATTCCCCACTACATGTAGTTTTCTTCTCTACCCTCTGTTCTGTTATACATTCTTTTCAACCTTTTTCAACAGTTTCCCTCTATGCAAGTAAAGTTGTGTGGATATGACTAGCTAAATGTCAAATTTATTATAAGATATAACTGATTTTGAAAAGAAGTTACAAATTTATAGACAAATTTATACTGGTGTTACCTCTCTACTGTTTCAGACTGACCAACAATGGATTTCACACAGACATAAGAAATATGTACTACTTAGAAAAAGTTACTAAAATGATACAATGTTGCAACAATAATAAAAATAGGACTTGATTTCTACTTAACTTTTATTTCATTATAAGGATTAAGAAGGGAGAAAGAGCGTAAGCGTATATTCAATTTATAAATGTGCTCAGTTTTGTAAACTAAGCAGTCTTTCTCACTTTAAACTTATTTTCTAATATGTTGGTCATCAGCTACTTTAAATTCTCACAATTAGATATTTGGCTTTTACCCACTTTTTAAAAAATTCCACAAAATATGTGATATACCTGCCAGTGTTCCTCTAAATCCTTGACTTGTTGTCTAAGTTCTTTCAAACCCATAATAGCTTCTGCTTCTCTCAGTTTCACAGCAATGAGTTCTTCCTGAAGCCTTGCAATGTTATTCTCATCAGGCAGGGAATTATTCCTCTAAAGTAAAAGAAAACTTATTTTGGTATTTTTAAATTTAAGGAACAAAATAAAATGTACTACACATTAGTAAAAGCTATTCTCTCCCATGTGTAACTGATTGTACTTACTTTTTAGTAACAGCTTTATAGAGATAAAATTTACGTACCACAAAATTCACCCTTTTAGAGTGTAAGTCACTGTAACCATTACAACCATGTAATTTTAGAAATAGTTCATAACCCAAAAGTGCATACAGAGAAGAATTTTGTATCCACTAGTAGTCACTCAATCCTTATCTCCACCCAACCCCTGGGAACCACTAATCTATTTATGTCTCTATGGATGTGCCTATTCTGGATAGTTCATATAAATGACATGATTCAATATATGTGGTCTTTGTGATTGCCATCTTTCACTCAGCATAATGTTTTCATGGTTCATCCACACTGTAGCATGTACCAAAACAGCATTCCTTTTTTATTGCCAAATAATAATCTATTATAAGGATATACCATATTTTGTTTATCTATTCATCAGTTGATGGAAATATAGGTTGTTTCCACTTTTTGGCTACAATGAACAGTGTTGATATGAGTATTTGTGTATAAATTTTTGTGCAGATGAATGTTTTCAATCCTCTTGAGTATGTATCTAAAGAGTAGAAGTGCTGTATCACATGGTAACTCTATGTTTAACTTTTAAGAAACTACCAAACTACTTTCCAAAGCAGCTGCATCATTTATATTCCCACCAGCAATGTATAGGGATAATTGTACTTAATTCTGAGGACATAGAAAATCTAACTTTTCTTTGTTATTAAAACAGCAATCAAAGTTACACAGCAACAGTTTTAATAATCTTTTTCAGCATGATAATAATACACTAACCTCTGAGACCAGAAGAACTAGATGGCCCAGTTAATACTACTGAAAATTTTGATCACAGATTCTATAGGAGAATCCTGATTAAAAGGTGGAAAATGGAGAGCAGAATTTCAAATTATCATCGACCCCAGACAACAGTTAATTTCTATCCTGTAAATTTCTCATAGGAGCTCTGGTAGTATAGTGCCTAAGGCACTTGACTGCTAACAAGAAGGCTGGTGGTTGGGCAATCTACTTCCATAGTGATACCGCCTCAGAAACCCAAGGAGGGGTCACTATGAGTCGGGGCCAACTTGACAGCACATAACAACACCAAGTTTCTCATCTCCAACATTCAGATATTCTTCCTATGAAAACTAATCTGGTTGTTTACTTCAAAAAGGGCTCTAATTTCCATTTTGCCCTTAAATATGAGTCTTAAATAGTATGGCAGTAACAAAGAATAACTGGCAATCTTATATACATATGTATTTTTTCCTTTCCTTTTTTAGTAACTAATATGTAAGATTTCTAATGTGTAAGACACTAAGCCCAATTTAATTGTTCCGTGAGTACTTAAATATCTATCCTAAGTCCTCCTTAATGTGGGAATAAAAATATTTATGTTGCTCTTACCTTCTCAATATCCAGGACTTTATCCTGCATCTCTTTTAGTGCACACTGAGACTCAGCTTCACTCAGTCGGGCTTGGACCAATTCCTTCTCCAGCTGTAGCACAAAATCTTCACTGTAGTTGGAACTGCATTTATGCTACAAGTTATAGACATATACTGAAATTTTATGGAATTATGAGCATATATATGTGTATATATATGCATACATATATACAGTAAAAATAAATGCAATACCATGTTATATTAAGGAGTGCTAAGCAGTAAAAGTTCTATTTACCCAATATTCTCAGCATATCTCCAAGGTTTTGATATCAAAGTTTTGATATCAATAAAGATGATCAATTTTGGGGGGTTTTGCTAACTAGTTATTAAGCTGATCAAGTCCAATTCACTGAAAAGCAATATCTTTTATCAGTACATCCATCCAGTTACTAAGAATTTGTTCTGACTCTAGAGACGGACACTATGCAATATGCTAGTCATTGACCTTATGTGGCTAATGAGCACTCTGGTCACTCCAAATTAAGGCAGGTTTTAAGAATAAACTACAAACTTGATTTCAAAGACTTAACACACACACACACACACACACAAAAGACTATAATGACTAATTTTATATCAATTACACGTTCCACTCAATTTTTAATAGATTTAAACAAAAATATTAATTTTTCTTGTATCTTTTAATTCTTTTTAATGTAGGGGCTCTGGTGGCACAGTGCCTAAGGCATTTGACTGCTAACCAGAAGGCTATCTATGAAGCATCTTAAATCCCGATACAGCAAAATTTTATTTGCTCTGAGAACTGTAGATTTCTTCAAAGATGTGCACAGAAATGACTGCTGGACACAGAGAAAAAAAGATAACAAATGAAGAAATTACCAAAAGGAATCCAGAAACCTTCCAATTTCCTTTCCGACTATATATACAACGTAAATACCAATATAGGCACTTAAGAAATCCCTTACAAAAACAAAGATACCAAATTTATCATTATAAAAGACTTACTAAAAGAAATTTATCAGTTCACATTGAAGTCATGTAATAAAAGTAAGTTTGAGTAACAACTCAAATTTCAAGAAAGAATCTTAAGAGAACAATCTCCTACTGAACTAGCATGAGTAAAAAATGATTTATTTTACTCTTCAATATATTAGGAGCAAAGTAGATGTAAAATCAAAACTATTTTAAAAACTATTAAACTCTTACTTAAAACATACGGCACTGCCTTACCTCACTTAAGGGGATCTCTCTCTGGTGGTGTAGTGCCTAACCCATTTGACTGCTAACTAGAAGGCTGGTGATTAAAGCCCACCAACCACTCCTCGGAAGGAAGACGGAGCGATCTACTTCTGTAGAGATACCACCTCGGAAACCCAAGGAGGGGTCGCTATGAGTCGGAATTGACTTGACCACAAGGAGTTAGGTTTTTATTTTGGTTTTACCTCAATTAAAGGAGCTCTGGTGGTGGAGTTCCTGAAGTACTTGACTGCTAATCAGAAGGCTGGGGGTTCAAACTCACCAGCTGCTCTGCGGCAGGCAGCTGGGGCAATCTACTTCTGTGAAGACTTACTACCTCGGAAACCCAATGGGGTTTGCTATGAGTCAGAATCAATGGCCATGAGTTTGGTTTTCTTGGTACCTCATTTATGCATCCCAAATGATGTCATTTTTAAAAAACAAAAGTTTCATTTATTAAGCTAATGGGGCCTTTTTGATATAATGGATCATACATCGTTGTTGCTGTTGTTAGGAGCCGTAGAGTCTGCTCCCACTCATAATGACCTTATGCACAACAGAATGAAACAATGCCTGGTCCTGTGCCAGCCTCACAATCCTTGCTATCTCTCAGAAAATTGTATATTTTTCTGATATAAGAAGTGAATCTTCAATAGGTCTATCACCTTAGCAATTACTTACCTTACCAAACAGGAGGAAAGCACTCTTTTGGAATGATCACATCCAAACTGTAGGTGCCATAATTTATTTAATGAAACTATAGTTATTTTATGGATTTTACTAGAATTTTCTGACTTTATTTAAAGCTATAGCAGCTATAATTCAGGGCTGTTTTCTAAGACTCTATACTAGGAGATCCCCAAGAACTCATCAAAGCCAATCAGCCTACATGAGGATGGAATCCTTGACCTGGTATAAACCACGTAATCCAACCAACCACAAAAAACAACAGTATTACTGGAAACAAATTTATATCAGTAAAACGTGAGCTGAAATTCTTTGATGATATGTCACTCTGGATAATACATATTTTACACTTTTTATTCACCAAAACACATTACTCTTTTAGATTGAAATCACTTTTTCCCCCCATTTACAGTCTATGGAACATATTTCTTTATTCTCAGCTCATCATGAGAAAGATCAATTATTACACTGCAAATTATAGAGGGTCTAGAGTTGGTAGGAGTATGTCAAGGTTGTATCCTTTCACCATACTTATTCAACTTGCATGCTGAGCAAATAATCTGAGAAGCTGGATTATATGAAGAAGAACGTCATCAGGACGTTCAGCATCAGGATTGGAAGAAGACTCATTAACAACCTGTGATATGCAGATGATACAACTTTGCTTGCTGAAAGTGAGGATGACTTGAAGCACTTAGTGATGAAAATTAAGGACCACAGTCTGCAGTATAGATTACACTTCAATATAAAGAAAACAAAAATCCTCATAACTAGACCAATAAACAGCTTCATGATAAATGGAGAAAAGACTGATGTTGTCAAGGACTTCATATTACTTGGTTCTACAATCAACACCAATGGAAGCAGCAGTCAAAACATCAGACGACGTATTGCATTGGGCAAAATCTGCTGCAAAAGACCTCTTTCAAGTGATGAAGAGCAAAGATGTCTCCTTGAAGACTAAGGTGCACCTAACCCAAACCATGGTATTTTCAGTTGCCTCTTATGTATGTGAGAGCTTGACAATGAATAAGGAAGACTGAAGAAGAGTTGATGCTTTTGAGTTGTGGTATTGGAGAAGAATGCTAAGAGTACCATGGTTTGTTAAATCTGTCCTAGAAGGGCAGCCAGAATGCTCCTTGGAAGCAAGAATGGCCAGACTTCGTCTCACCTACTTTGGTCATATTGTCAGAAGGAACCATTCCTTGGAGAAGGAAACTGTCCTTGGCAAAGTGGAGGGTCAACAAAGAAGGTGAAGGCCTTCGATGAGATGGACTGACACAGTGGTTGCCATGATGGGCTCAGGTATAGCAAGGAGTATGAGGCTGGCACAGGACCAGGTAGCATTTCGTTCTGCTGTGCACAGGGTTGCTATGAGTCAGAGATGACTCAAGGGCACCCAACAACAACAACAGAAAGTTGGTGCTTCAAACCTACCAGCTACTCCACAACAGAAAGATGTGCCAGCAGCCTTGGAAACCTTATGGGGCAATTCTACTCTGTCCTATAAGGTCCCTCTGAGCCAGAATTATAGAAGCTCTGGTGGCATAGTGCCTAAGGCATTCGACTGCTAACAAGAAGGTTAGCAATTCAAACCCCCCAGCCACTCCTTGGAAGGAAGATCGGGCAATCTACTTCCATAGAGATATTGCCTTAGAAACGCAAGGAGCGGTCGCTGTGAGTTGGAAACAACTTGATGGCAGTGAGTTGCTTTTTTTTTTTTTTTTTTTCCGGTGTGAACTAGAATTGATTTGAAGGCAAACAATTTGCATTTTTAAGATGTATAGAGTTCTTCTGGTAAATTAAATAAAAATTTGTACATTTTTGGATTTTTATGACTAAATTTAAAGTTCTCCATTTCTCTCCCTCTGTTGCTAAGATTGAAGCTGTCATTTTTCTGTAACTTTCAATCCTAGTTTTATCTTGGTTTTCTGGTCTTAACATTTAGTCCTACCTCTATGATCTGTCACCTGCTTCTCCCTCTCTAGCACTGATTCTTTACCCTGTTTGAGTCACAGACTCTTTGGGAATCACAAAGGCCATGGAACTCTCTTCTCCAAAAAATCATATTCACAAAGAAAGTTTTGTATAGTATTTCACACCTCCCTAAGCCATCCGTACAACCTAAGTTAAAAATCTCTACTCCTATAACATACTTCCTGTAATTCTGTAGCTATTTCTATGATCATCAATTAATTCTATGTAAGAGCCAGACTAGATCTCTAATACCAAAAATTACCACTCTTAGAAGTTGTAGTTTCTGATTGACTGCTGGTCATTCCATATGAATTGTTGTTGTTGTTGTGTGCCGTCGAGTCAAACCCAACTCATAGCGACCCCTCCTTGGGTTTCCGAGGCAGTATCACTACAGAAGTAGGATTGCCCAACCTTCCTTCCGAGGAGTGGCTGGTGGGTTTGAACCTCCAGCCGTCTGGTTAGCAGGCAAATGTCTTAGCCACTATGCTACCAGAGCTCCCTCCATATGAATAGTCTGTATAAAAATCAAATTTAATTAAAGGTTGATCATCATCTTCCCCAAACCAATCCCTTTCCTTGGTTTCTCTCTTTGCCACTCGCCTGAAATCCTTCACCTGCCTCCTCAGTGTTGTTGCCTCTCACTGTGCAATACTTTTTCTTCCTTTAAAACCCTCCCCTTGCCATTCTTTCCTTTTTCATTTCCTATCATTACTCTAACTGGTCTCTATGCAGCAATTTTGACCCAACATCAATCCACTCTGTATGCTGGCATCCTAAAACACCATCTTCAATCACATAATTCCTTCAATCAAAAACTTTTGGTTGCTCTCTATGTTCAAGGGATAAATTCTAAATTCCAGTTCAGATTTACTATTTTCTCTTTCGTACAACCTATTTCATTCTAGCTTTACTCCTCATCCCTTGATAAAAGTGTTCTAATCACAAACAACATACTCAATAATAGTATAAAAAACCAATAGAAAGCTCTTTTATTCAGCTCTTACATTCACTGGACATTCTACGTCATCATATGATACAACCTACCACTCTTATTTGAAACTCTTGCCTATCCTAGATTTTGAGAAATCACACTCCCATGGTTGTCCTATTCTTTGTCTTCTCTATCAATTCCACTACTTTATTATGTATATGTGTGTATATGTGAATCAGTAGTTGTCAGGGTCCTGTCATTATGTGTTCTCTTCAATCTTTCCTTTTTTAAAAAATGTATAG